AAACAGGAACGAAAGAGAGTATTACATAGAGTTTAACATTATAAACAGAGAAATTCAAGTAGGAATGATAAGAGGAATAAGTACCATTTTTCTTATGATAAGGCAAATCAACGAATCCCCCATTATAAATATGCAGACATAACAAAAGCGAATCTCCAAAAGTTGAATTTAGTTTAGAATGATGGTTACTTAATGCACTATAGTTTAAATTGCTTATTACCTTGGGTCCTTTCGTCAGCCATTCCTATTATTGAATTCATTATCGCCTTAGGTTACTGGCAAATTGAGGTATCGAAGCCAGAGGTAAGAACACTTTCTTACAAAATAGCAGTGTCCAAGTGTAAAGAGTAAATTATCCTTGTTAAATCTACGTCTTGCAATTCAAATTATCAGTGCCAAAATCACGTTGGAACTATTAAAAGTACTTAGTTTGTCCTTCAAGTTATTTCTTTCCCACTTCTCCCCTATCAGCTAACATTTATTTTAATCGTTAAGATTCCATTATAAGCATCATAATTTTTAGCATTTCTTCTCTTCAAACTTGCTAATCACTAATATTTCATATTCGTATTTAGGAGGTCTAGAAACTAACTAAATATTTTTTATTATGAATTTATACTTACATTCATTCCACATATACTTCTCTTAATTATGAATGCAAACAGCATGTAAAAAGTCGGTCAAAATGCAATCAGAGCAAAATCTCCTTATTTATCAATAGAATAAGTGTTGTTGTTGGCAACCTTTTCATAAAGCTATGAGAAATTGTCAAATATGAACCACTATCGTGCTTTATCATAGTTCATTAAATACTTACTAGTATGGAAGCAGGAATCCAGAAGATTAGCATCGCAATATGAAGGAGCAGAAGAGTATAAGATCTAAGTAAATCTAATACTTTCTTATATTCTGTATCAAATACTCAATTTTAAACGGAACAAAGAGACAGTGACAACTAGGCAGTCTCATGGGTCCGACCCAGTTAGTTTATTGAAATGTTGGCAGAGATATTACAGTGAGTTAGTGTTCGCGCCTTTGGCATAGCATTGCTCGCAGTGTCGGAATATCGATTGAGCTAATTCTGAGTGTGTGCATGTTAACAAACTTCAAGAAGTAATTGTATGTAGTGAGATAATGAAAAAAGTGACCATTGCAAGGTAATCAGAAACAACCGGTCTGCGGCCAATAAATGTGCCAACAGAAGAATTTCGCCTAAAATAAAGGCAGAAGCCTCGTAAGCAATGGTATAGGGCTTAGAATACCATCAGAACGTATATCAAGGAGGTAAGTGGCGAAGTAACATATTTTCTCGGCCAATACAACCCGAAAGCTGAGATGATCAGGAAAAGGGCAGTACGGCGGAGACATAAAAAGCAAAATAATGTAATATCAGTAAAATGGTATAATGATACGTGACCAAACATAAACACGACCAAAAACAAAAAACACCCACTAACATTTTGAATATGAATTCGCTTTCGCTCCTATTTACCAAATAATCGATAAACGACACAGACAAAGCGTATAGATATGGAAAGAGATCTGGGTAGATATACAGATGGATAGATAGATAGATAGATAGATTTATAAGGGCATAAATAATCATAGAGGTTGGGACGAACAGAATAAGGATATACGGACAGATGGAGATATAGAGGAAGAGACAGACATACACACCAAGGGGCATAAATACAAACATACAGAGGGACAGACAGACTTGCAGACAGACAAAAGACAGCTTGGCAAGGTCGGGCTGAAGAGGCAGGACAGAACAGGGCATGGCAGGACAGGAGACAAAGCTTGAACGCAAGAGTAATCAATGAATGGACAACCGGGCTGTCTGACTGAACGAGTAGCATTTGTTGTGTTGCTGTAGCTTGGTTATTGATCGACTCCGCTTGCAAGGAAAACGATTGGTTTCGTGCGAGATGGCTGACAAATAGTAAATCAATAAGGTCGACGAGCAATAATAAGTAGCAGTAGGAATGTTGGATGCACGCAAAAGAAAATTTCATACACACATGGATTCACATAATTTTGCATGTGTATACATCTATGTGTATGGAAATAGGTAGAGAAAGTAGAGTAATCATAGGTTATTATGATGATTGCCGATGATCCTTCAGTAGGTAATGGGCTAATGATCCTGAGAGTGGCATCCCCGTAAAAAACGTCTTCTCTGTTGTCTTTGGTCAGGTAAAAGAAAGGAGAATATTCCACACAAATAAAGATGCATGTAATCCTGTAAGACAAATAGCTAAAAAGCAGACATCGTTGCATGTTTTGGCCATTTTTTTCTCATGCAATGTCTGAAGCCATTCTTGTAGGCTCTTGTATACGTATGGTATTGAGACTAAGGAGATGCCCATTTGTCAGAGCTAAAATGAAGCATTTCAGTATCGCCATGAAGGGGAGCATCGTTAATTGACGAATAGCTCGGCGAATTTATGTTGGCCGTCAGAGACCGATAGCCAGACTGACTTAATAATGGAGACAGACCAAGTGGAATTATTCGTGGCTATACAAGATAAATTAACTAAATCAGTCACCCTTGCTCAAAAGCATTTTCTAAAAATAATTTAGTAATATCAGTCTATGTAACGAACCCAGCTTTTGCTATGCCGATCAGTATAGTTACCGCTTGGTAAAATAGTCTTGAGACCGATTTAAATCGTAAGTTAAGTAAATTGGGCAGTTATATATATTTTTTTAATAGTAGCTGACAATGATGCGACTTAATATGCCATCAGAGCCTCTTAGCCAAACAAAAAGAGAAGGAACTAAATATGTTGGATAAATAGTACGAATTAGTTGCTATCAGAACTACTCAGCTTAGGATCATTTGGGCCGCAAGCCCTATTCAGTTTGTCAAAATAAAAGTTAATGACCAGGGCTATAACACAGCTGTATATATTGTGTATATATTGCAAATAGCCTTATTACAGTTGAATGTAATCAATCTGCAAAACCAGGGCTAACATTTGTTCAGAATAGTAGAAACAAAAGGTAGGATATTTAATGTACGGCATTATGTGAACCTGAGTAACTTATGATTTAGTAACTCGAAAGGATAAAAAATTAATGAGTAAATTGTGCCAAAGTAATCTGAATGTTAAAGACATAAGAGAAAAACTTGTATGGTAAATAATGAAAATGGCACTAACATGAGCAAGATGCTTAATCAAGCTAGACCGATTTCGAAACTCCTTTCCGCACCCTGGTTGAGAGCAGACAACCGTGGGAAGGCTGCTATCGTATTCGGTACCACTTGTCGCCTCAATTGAGTTGCTATGGTGGTTGCTGCTGGTCAGACCATCGTCGGCAGAGTGACCAACGCCGAGGAATGAAGAGGCAGGACTCTGATGCATAGCATTATTTGATGCTGACTGGATATGCCCGGGATGTAACTGCTGTTGCTGTTGTTGATGGTGGTGGGGATGATGGTGATGGTGGTGATGATGATGGTGGTGGTTGGTGAGGAGACGATTTGTATTGATCCTGGCCGTTGGCTCTTTGAGGCTACCGCCAGGACTGTTTTGCCCAGGGGGCATACCTTGTCCACGTGTTGACTCAGCGCGCTCTGAGGGAAAATCGTTTGGACAGTAAACATAATATTATACTAAGTAGAAAGAGAAGCAGAATTTGGAAGATGCATTAAATGATGGAGCGATATTTGATAAAGTTAGAAAGGGATTAGAGAGCAAAGGCCAGCTGAGAAAGATGAGGTGATTATTTACATATAAACTAGTATAGATGTGGCAGATAGAAAGCAAAAAGTGGAATCGATCGTCTCTTGGCGCGATGACATCAAAGCTCAACCAGTGAAAAGTAGAAAAAAATAAAATTCAAAGTAGTCTATACACTCTATGAAAAGAGAGAAGTAAAACATCCAATGCAATAACTACCTACTCACTCCAAACAAATAATGCGATAAACGCTGAGAAGCAAAATTAGTGGGTGCTCTGTTAAAAAGAAATAGTATCGGATTGCGAAGAGGGCATACGGGAATCGAAACTGCCAAGTGAGCACAAATACAATATACAAGTCCAA